TGATTCTAAGAATATTATTTTCTTTATCAGTATGAAAAACTGAGTATGATACATTAATTTAAATTAATGTATCATACTCAGTTTTTCATACTGATAAAGAAAATAATATTCTTAGAATCATTAGAGCAAGAAAAAGAGAAATTTAAATACCATTTCTCAAAAGTAGTCAATTTTTACATGGACTGATTTCATCAAAGTATTTTGATTTTTTTTTTATATAAAGCAAGAAAAAAAATTTTAAAATACATTTTCTTATACAGTTTGACGAGCTGTATTCAACCATATATAAAACATTGGAAAAAAAAAGTGATGCTCAAATTTTGAATTTCCCGCACCTTATAATACTACAATCACTACGTTTCAAGATCATGAACTTTTTTTGACATTTTTTAAAGATTGTGTAACAATTGTACGACGTATTTTTGGATCAATTTGTGTAACATTTTCGATTATCATTTACTGATAATGATAACGGCGCTGGAGAAATTACTGGGTTCAGGATACCCATGTATTGAGAAAGTCTCAGCAAAGTACCCGGTATGAGTACTTAGAAAATTTTCAGTAATTATTCTGATATAGATACTGTCTAGGATACCCATACCAGTATGCTTACTGAGCAAGTACTTGTGTGGGTACCTGCATCTGTAATTTTACTGAGGAAAGCCCAGCAGGGTATCCTAAATTGCTTTATGTAACGTATATATTAAAAACAGCATATCAAGGCACTTAAGTAAAAAATTGATACTATAAATTTAAAACCACTTAGTTCAGTTTATATGAATGTTTTCAAACTTTTACTTTTTTTAAACGACAAATAAAAAAATCAAAATAGTAGAGATAATTTGATGGGGATTCGAGGGGGAAACAACTGAGACTTCAGTTTTGAAGTCACATGAAATCTCAGAAATCTCTTAAAGTCTTGTGAAGTTTCATGAAATCTCCTGAACTCTTATGAAGTCTCTTGAAGTCTTCTGGATTTTTTACGTACATTTAGTGCACGAAAAATTCATAAGAAAACCAATGAAGTAGTGAGGTTTTTGATAATCTTATTTTAGCAGAAATGTGAACTTTTATTGTTTTGTCAATCTGCTGGAAAAGTCCGTGCTCGTTTGAACTTTAAAAAAAAAGCTTAATTAATCGTTCAATTCTTTTTAACGAAGTTATTTCTTTCCATAAGAAGTGTTCTATCAACTTAATATCAATTTTATGAAGAATTTTAATCTTTTTTGTTTGTTTCTATCACTCGTGAAAGTCTATCAGCCGATAAATGGCTAGCTTTATCGATCAATAACCAACAAGCCATTCGCTTATGTATAAATTTAGGCTTGTTATTTATTTGCACCTGATAATAAGAGCTCTGTAATGCTGAATTGATCTAATCAAATATACGTATACCATTAAAGTCCATCTTATTAATTTCAATTTTATCAACATTTTGTCTGATTGTCACATCTTGATCTTCTTCATTCAAGTTGAACAGATCATTATCAACTTCATTACCTTTCATTGTTTCATCATCATAATTAGATTCAGAATTTAATGATGACTCTGAATCAGCTATCGAATAATTATCTGAATTAATGTTCAATCTAACACTGACAAATATATTTCTACTTAAATCATGTAGTTCAAAAGCATTGTATGTCTTTAACGAAGTTAATATATTCACCTTACTAACTGGCTCTTTTGCATGATTAAATGAAGCTAAAATTTTTATTTCAAATTACTATGGGTATTTATCTTCGAAACAAATGTTGAAATTATGAATAATGGTTATGAATAAGTTATACATTGATCATGGATTGAAATTAAATTAAATCTGATGATGACGAAAAGAGAATAAATCCGTTGTGAATTTACTAATTTTGAAATAAAAACTTTAGCTGCATTTTCTTTTATTATTGAGTTTATACATGTATATGCCCTTATATAGAATTATGAAAGGAAACTCTTTTGATATCTTTATCTAAAAAGATAGTGTGTTTTGCATGGTACAGAAATTGTGTCCAATTTCTAAGGCTTCTCGAATACTCATGAAGTCTCTTGAAGTCTCATGAAATCTTTTGAAGTTTTTTAAAGTCTTTAGAAGTCTTTTGAAAATTTAAAGTCTCTTGAGTTCTTGAAGTCTGAAGTTCGCTGTTTACCCTCGACAAATACGTAGATCTGACCAAAAGTTCTGAAATTGTTAAGTAAAAGTATACAGATAAGGAGATATTTTCAATTTTATTTTATCACAGTTTCACGATAGTTCTCATGATTATTTATAGCAAGTTCAATCCTTTCTAATTATTTATTAAAAGTTCCTTTGAACTCTTTTTCGAAAAAGGTTTTAGCTGCCTTGGAAACCGCATGAGTACGTCATATTTCATTTATTTAATCAGTTTAACGTCGATCGATAGAATTATTTAACCAAAAATTGTGTAGTACTAGGTCCGGCGAATACGGTGGATGTGACATTATATTGATGCCTCTTTCTCTCAAATAATTAATGACATTGGATCAATATGAAGTCAACGATGATCGTTAAATAGTTTTACACATTTTGAACCTGATATCCCTGTTTACTTCCATATTTTATTAACAATAGGTCTTAGACAATTTTCAATATAATACTTATGGCCTACAATCTCACCATTATCTAGACTATGTATGAAAAGAGGACCATTCGACTTAAACAATATTTAAAACAAAGTTTTGATTTATACCTGTCTCTATGAGCAACAGTCTTTGCTGACTTATTTTCATTAGTCCAGCTAGCATCATATGACTTGATACCAACCCGTCTAAAATAAATCTATATCTCATCACTCCTAGTACTGGAACCCAACTGACACGATTTTTGCTAAATTTTAAAGAAAAATTCTTGAAATCAACTAGGCAAACGAAATATTATGTGTTCCTGCAGTTTCCAAGGTAGGTAAAAATTTTTAATAAATTATTAGAAAGAATTGAACTTGCTATAAATAATTATAACAACTATCGTGAAACTTTGATGAAATAAAATTGAAAATATCTTCTTATCTTTATACTTTTATGTAACAATCTCAGAACTTTTGGCTAGACCTAAGTAAACATTTAGGCTGATTTCATTTGTTATTACTACGTAGCTTCAATTCGGTTTTCGAAAGTGATTTAAGTATATCATGAATCTTTGGTTTGAGTCATTCAGATGGAGACAAAATAATAAAGTAAAATATTTCTTACTTTGACAACTGTCTTTTCTGAGTTAAATAGAAGCGCTGTTTTATTTGAGGGATAGTTATAGAATGAGTTTAGTCTGATGGAGATAGATGATGGCAAAAAAATTGCATTTCCAGCAAAGATTTATATACTTTAGAAAAGCTTATTTTCTTTCTGACTTTCAACTTGGTGAAAGAGAGCTTCTTAAAACA